TATGCCAAAAGCCAGCTGAGCTCCCAGGCTGTGTTGTCCTCGCACCTTATACTGCGCTTGTGTCCTTATGGCCTCCCCACTGTCTGAGCGTTTTTCGAGGACTTGGTCTGTAACTTCGCTGTTGTGTTTTCAAGTTTGGCTCACAGTGTGTGCTCATTGAGTGCTGATTGGAAACTGAAGCCCTGGCCTGTGAACATGGTATCTGTGTGGAGTTGTCACTCAGGAAGTTAGTATTTCCTTTTGCTGTGTGCAGGTGGCGCTTTGCTGAGTTTCAGTACCTGCAGCCAGGCCCCCCCCGGCGGCTGCAGACAGTGGTGGTGTACCTGCCGGATGTCTGGACCATCATGCCTACTTTGGAGGAGTGGGAGGCCCTGTGCCAGCAGAAAGCTGCAGAGGCAGCTCCCTCGACCCAAGAGGCACCAGGGGTAAGGCTCTGCCTTAGCCAGCAGTGGGGAAAGTAGATGCCCTGATCCCGGGGCCCAGATGGTCTCATCTCGGCTGTTGTCACAGGAAACGGAACCTACTGAACAGGCACCTGATGCCTCAGAGCAAGTGGCAGATACTTCTAGACGGAACACAGAGACTCCAGAGGCCACCACTCAGCAGGAAACGGACACTGATCTTCCAGAGGCCCCTCCGCCGCCACTGGAACCTGCTGTCATCGCACGCCCTGGCTGTGTAAACCTGTCTCTCCATGGGATTGTGGAGGATCGGAGGCCAAAAGAAAGGATCTCTTTTGAGGCAGGTGTCAGAGTCTTGGGGAGGCAGTGGGGTGGGATGTATGGGCCTGGAGCAGCCTTTCTTCCTGATGCTCATGGACCCTGCCACCTCCCCATCAGGTGATGGTGCTGGCCGAGCTGTTTCTGGAGATGCTCCAGAGGGATTTTGGCTATAGGGTTTATAAGATGCTGCTAAGCCTTCCTGAAAAGGTGGTGTCCCCACCTGAACCTGAGAAGGAGGAGGTGGCCAAGGAGGAAGCCACCAAGGAAGAAGAAGCCATCAAAGAGGAGGTGGTCAAGGAGCCCAAGGATGAGGTACACAATGAGGGCCCGGCTGCAGAGTCAGAGCCCCAGTTGGTGAGTACCCTCCTGCCCCAGGCTGCCATAGTGCTTGCCATGACCACACCCCTTCACCCCGGGCTCTGTTCTCACTGCTTCCATGCCCTAGTACATTCCCCACTCCCTTGCTCAGGCGCTAGTAAGTGGCACACGTGGCATGAGGGAAGATGGTACAGGGCAGTGCAGCTAAGCGGCCTGAATGCACAGGAACCCCAGTCACTGAAACCGCTTGACAGAGTTGGGTGCTTTGGATGGTTAACTAGAAAATTTTGTAAACCTTTTCTAAAATGAGTCTGCTTTTTTCTTTTTTGAGATGGAGTCTTGCTCTGTTGCCCAGGCTGGAGTGCAGTGGTGCAATCTTGGTTCATTGCAACCTCTGCCTCATGGGTTCAAGTGATTCTCCTGGCTCAGCCTTCCGAGTAGCTGGGATTTCAGGCACCCACCATCATGCCCAGCTAATTTTTCCATTTATGTAGAGATGGGGTTTCACCATATTGGCCTGGCTGGTCTTGAACTCCTGACCTCAGGTGATCCACCTGCCTCGGTCTCCTAAAGTGGTGGGATTATAGGCATGTGCCACCATGCCCAGCTGCTGCTTGTTTAAATATGATCAAGTAAATATAGTTCCTTCTGGGACCAAGATTAACACCCGAGAAAAAGCCCAGGTGTCTGGTGATGCCCTGGCATGCTCTGAATTGCAAGTAATGAAATTAAATACATGAAATGAGAGAGTTGTCTGTAGAACCCTCCACAGTGCCTGGGGCATAGTTGATATTCAAGTGTCAGCCATGATTACTGTTGGTAATTACGGTAACTGCCTGCCTGCTCCTCATCACCTTCGTCTCCTTCCCTAGAAGGAGGATGGGCTTTTGGCCAAACCACCATCTTCTGGGGGAGAAGAAGAAGAAAAACCCCGGGGTGAGGCTTCCGAGGACCTGTGTGAGATGGCCCTGGACCCAGAACTGCTGCTTCTGAGGGATGATGGAGAGGAGGAGTTCGGTACGTGGAGTGGTGGGAGGGGAGCTTACAGGCTCGGGATGTGGCTTTCCACCTGTGGCCTAGTTGCTTTTCATTTTCAGACTGTGGGGCCGTGGTGGGCTCTGCCCTTCATTTATCTTGGGCTTTCTGTAGCAGGAGCAAAGCTGGAGGATTCAGAGGTTCGTTCTGTTGCCTCAAACCAGTCAGAGATGGAGTTCTCTTCACTTCAGGACATGGTGAGGCCTGTTCTCAGCCTCTCTGGGCTACAGTGGTACTCCTGGGGAAAGGATGCTTACCAGTGACTTTCCCTGATGGACCCAAGGTTCTTTTGGGAAAGTGCCCCAGAGAGGAAGTCTGGCTTGGGTGTGATGAACATCATCAGCCTAACTGCTTGATGTTTTGTTTTTTAGAGATGTGGTCTCGCTATGTTGCCCAGGCTGGAACACAGTGGTTATTCACAGGCATGAGTGGGCTCAAGTGATCCTCTTACTTTAGCCTTCTCAGTATCTGGGACTCTAGGAGTGCATCACTGCACGTGGCCCGAGCCACTGGATTCTGAACAGGCTGAATCCTGGGCAGTAGAGCCACTGAGGGAACTTCCTATTTGCAAATCCTGCTCATCTTTGTCGTCTTTGCAGCCCAAGGAGCTGGATCCCTCTGCTGTGCTCCCTTTGGACTGTCTGCTTGCTTTTGTGTTCTTTGATGCCAACTGGTGTGGCTACTTGCACCGGCGAGACTTGGAGAGGATCCTCCTTACCCTTGGGATCCGGCTCAGTGCAGAGCAGGTACCTTTTTCTCTTTCCTGCCCCCAGCACACGGGCACAGGCCTGCAGTTACTCTGCTCCAGGTTCTTGCACACCGCCGGGGTCAGAGATGAGGCCTTCTGATTGGCAGGTGTCTGAGGGTGTTTTCTTTTTGCAGGCCAAGCAGCTGGTCAGTAGGGTGGTGACCCAGAACATCTGCCAGTACCGGAGCCTTCAGTATAGCCGCCAAGAGAGCTTGGACGGTGGCCTTCCGGAGGAGGTGCTCTTTGGTATGTCCTGGGGCCCTGCAGCCTTCCTGGAGAATGGGCAGGGCAGGCTGCCCTCTCCTTCTAGGCCCCATCCTGAAATCTTTTGCATGGCTCCCTCTAGGAAACCTGGATCTGCTGCCTACTCCTGGGAAAAGCATGAAGCCAGGTGCCACCCCCATGGAGCACAAAGCTTTGGTGTCCCACAATGGCAGCCTGATCAACGTAGGGAGTCTGCTACAGCGTGCAGAGCAGCAGGACAGTGGGCGGCTTTACCTGGAGAACAAGATCCACACACTGGAGCTGAAGCTGGGTGAGGCCTGGGGCTGTGGCCACCATGGGGGCACATGCAGACCAGTGGGGAAGCCACCATTTACGCTCTGCCCTGTGCTCTGGGACTTGATGGAGCAGTGTCCATCCTTGTTTCCTCCTCCACTTCACAGAGGAGAGCCATAACCGTTTCTCAGCCACTGAAGTTACAAATAAGACGCTGGCGGCAGAGATGCAGGAGCTGCGAGCCCGGCTGGCGGAGGCCGAGGAAACCGCCCGGATGGCAGAGCGACAGAAGAGCCAGCTCCAGCGGCTGCTGCAGGAGCTCCGCAGGCGCCTGGCCCCCCTGCAGCTGGAGATGCAGCGGGTGGTGGAAAAGGTAAGGTAGGGGTGGACCAGGAGGCAGTGCAGCTCCTTTCCCTGAGCTTCAAAAGCCCCTGGAAGGGCACTTGCCACCATGTCCAGAGTTACCAGAGGGCCAGCAGGCACCGGCTTCTTCCTTCCCGTTGCTTGTCAGGCTGTGCGGCCCCAATTGCAGGTTCTCTGGGAATTGAGCAGTCAGCAGCGGGGAGCTTCCCAGCAGGAGGCAGTACGCAGTCCTCAGATTGCCTTGCCAGGACCAATTCTGGGTACATCTGTTTCAAACAGGCTGACAGCTGGGTGGAGAAGGAGGAGCCGGCACCTAGCAACTGACAGCCTCGCATGAAACTGCCATCCTGTGAGGGCAGCGGTGGCACCTGGCAAAGTTGGAGCCCTTGCGGTACCAGAAAGCAGCGGGAGCAAGACCTGGGAGCCAGGGCAGGGGTAGCTGACCCTGCACTCAGCCTCTAGGGGACGGCAGGCCATCAGGCTGGGGGCTGTGCTATGTGGGATGGATGCTTGAGGAATCCCAGTTCCACTTACAACTAAATACAACATCTTTTGCACCCCTAGAATGTCATTTTGCCCTCCACCTTGGAATTTCTCCTGGGGCCCTTTTAGTCTTGTGCTGACTTTCTCCTGTCCTCTTCCAATTTAGAATAAGACAGGGGAGAAAAAGGCTTTTCGAGTGTGTGTCAAGGTCTGATGTCAGTGAACTGAACTGAAGAGGCAGACGTGGAGCCTGGCTGGGGCTAAGCGCCCCCTCCTCTGGACGGCACAGGCCCTCCTGCTAGTTCCAGACACAGGCTTCTGGGGGAAGGGTCTCCCTTGGCCATCCTGGGAATGGAGTCAATGCTAGTAAGCACTCAGTGTTGGGCTTTGTTTGCCAATAGAACACTGTGTTCCAGTCACCCCAGACTCACCAGAAGAAACCAGCACTTCTTTCCCGTGGCTCCTGTGTTCAGAATGTGGTATTGACTCTGGTCCAGCCTTCTCCCCTGTTCCCCATAATTCTTGCCTCTTTCCATAATCCGTGGTTTCAGTTTGACTTTGTATATAAAGTTGGTTTTTTTTTTTTTTTTTTTGGCTTTTTGTTTTTTAAATAAACCAAAGTCAAAAAACAAACCAAGCGTGTCCTCCACAGCTCTTCCTGCTCTTCTAGGCCTGCCTGCATGTCCTCCCGCCCAGGGTCTCTGCTGGACCACGGTGCAGTTTGCCTCAGAAGGTAGAGCAGGGGAGGTGTGCATAGCTGGGCTGGAGGGTGCCCCTGCATGAGGCCACAGGGTTTCCTCTGCTTGCCCTAAGTTACAGCACAATACCATGTGGACGTTTCATTGAAAACTTTACTTGAAAAAATAAAATTCCAAATATTCAGGTGAGACACAAACCCACTGTTCTTGCTTTGAGGCCTAAGAATTAACATGGGACCGTTGCGCTGACAGTTTGAGTTCCCGAGGTAACAGTTCTGTTACTTGGGAACCCCAGGGACTAGGGACTTGGGACCTGGGTTCCAAAGCCACAAGGGTAGCTTTTGTCTTGCTGGGAAGCTGGCTGAGGGCCTGCCAGGACTGGAGGACCAGCTCTCCCTGGCAGGGCTCAGGGCCTCTCCCAGAAAAAAGAAGCTTTGAAGTGAAAAGACAACAAGGGGCCAGTAGGCTCCCCAGGATGCAGGCCTTTGGAGGTAGATTTGCCCCCCACCATGCATGCAGGGCTAAGACCCCAACTGAGCCAACGAAGGCCATGCCCTTGGAAGGGCTGCCGCTTGCTCAGGCCATGACCCAGGATGCACAGTGGACGGTTCTCCAAATAAAAAGGGTTTGTCTACACTGCTTACCTGCTGGGGCTGTGAGTGGGGAGATGGTGGCCTGCCTAGGGCTTCTGATGCTGGGCTCAGGAAGAGTTACTCATTCGCAAAGGGCCGGCAAGTGAACCAGGGCCACCTCTGTCCCCAGCCCATGGGAAGAGTGGGACCCTAGCCCTGAGAAGGGCAAGAACGAGCAAGGCTGACCGTGTCACAGGAGTCCTCCGAGAGTGACGGGTTTTCAGTCATCAGCAACAATGGAGAGGGCCCGGAGCTCACTGAGTTTGGCCTCGTTCTCCCGTTCCCGCTGCTCGTCCGAGTGGCCTGGCTGGTCAAGCTGTTGGGTCAGGTCTCCAAAGATCTTGTGCATTTCCGAGTAGTACACCACCTAGGGGAGGCGACAGGTTGGCATGTGATGCCTCCAGGGAACCATGTGCTTCAGGGTCCCAGAGGCTGCCACTCCTGCCCGCTTTCACCCATCTGGAGCTGTGCAGCAGCATGCCTTTGGGGACGTGCAAGGCATGGAAAGGCACTAGCTGAGACTGAACCAAAAGGAGGCAGGGAGCAACTGGGCCTCAGTGGCTGCAGGTGGAGGCGCACCTGCTTCGGGCTCTTGGTTCCCCCAGCAGCAGTGCAGGAAGGCACTGGCCTCCTAGGGCAGCTGTGGAATGATGGGCACCCTGACTGGAGTTTTACTGCTTTTTGTAAGCTAGGGGAGAATCCAAGGCTTTTTGTCCATGGCAGAAAGAGGGCATGGTAGGCTGGTGGCTCCCAAAGACTTATGCCAGCTTTAGAAGCACAGGTGAGAAAGGGGATACCCATCTAGCCTTCCATTCCCTCCCAACTCGTATCGCACCCTTGCTCATGGCCCAAGCTGCATGGCCAGGGGCACAGCTCAGAGGCCAGGCTCACTGCCAGGGGTCCCTCTAGGGAGGCACCAGAAATGGGGGTGGGGGCGGGTGGAGGAATGGGGAAGCGCGTCAGCATCCCCAGATGGCTGAGGACCAGGCACTTTTCCAAGGACAATAGGGGCCACTTCTGCCTCAGTTTCTACCTCATGAACCAATGAAAGCATGCACTTTCCTGAAAGCTTCCACGCTTTACATTCTATACATGAGGCACTCTAGACAGGAGGGGACCCTGTGGGAAATACCAGGTGGGGCAGGGACCCATGGCTGAAACCCCCACAGCGAAATTTCCACTGGCCAAGGGGGAGCTAAAGTGAGCAGGTCTCAACACACTACTGTCACCTCTGGGCTGGGGGTGGGCCACCCTACCCCCCACTCCCTGCCCAAGCCACTGCATAGTGAGTCACTGGGAATGCTTGCTTCTCCATGACTAATGGCAGCCAGGTGGGCGAGGGGGAGGCTGGAGCCTGGGAGGCAGCCAATAGCCCCCAGTGATGCTGCCTGGTTACAGGGCATCCCTGGCCTCCCATCTGCTCCAACCTGGGCATGTGGGAGCCTGGCATCCTGTGGCTTCCTCCTGTGAGCAACAGGAGGAAGGGTGCAGGGGAGCACCCAGGTGACAGTGAGGAAGGGGTAGGCCCACATCTCTACTGAACCCAGTGGGGCGGCCAGAGGGAGCCCTTGCTGTAGGAGGAAGTGTTGGGAGAAGTCCCTCACCCCTTCTGCATGAGGTTCTAGTTCTCACTGCCCTCTAGATGGCACAGGACCAAGGATGTGGGTAACTGGCAAGGCCCAGCTCTGGCATGAACCCTGCCCAGGCATCCTGATTGGGTCAGGTGGCCACCCTGACTTTGGCCCAGCAGGGTGGGCTTGCGGGCCAGGCTTTGGGGCTGTGACTGCAGGGCCTGCAGGAATGGCCACGGCCACCGGAGGGTGCCAGATGCCCAGCCATGCTCAGACTGCAGGGGCTGGGAGGCGCAGAGCCTGTGGCTTGAGGACCTGGCACCAAGGGGTGCCAAAGGTGTTGGGGTCCTGAAGCTGGGCACAAGTCATCAGTGGGGTCCTGTGTGGAAGGGACCTGCTCTTGGCATGGGTGCCCACCCTCTTCTATTTTGCCAGTTGGGGGAACAATCCTCGATAAAGGCTTGAAGACAGGAGGGGCAGGAGCGGAAGGAGGTGGAGCAGGGTGAGGAGGGCGGGAGCCACAGGCGCTGCCAGTCTGTGTCCTCCCGCCCCAAGTGGAAGGAGACGCTGGGGCCTGGCCCATGTCTGACCCCCAGTGGTGTGGCCCCATGTACCCAGGCCCACCCCAGGGCCCCAGCAGCAGCCCTGAGTGTGGCTCTCCCCAGGGTTCTGGGACCCCTTCCCTGGTGGCTCCAAGGCAGGACTCCACAATCTCCTGCTAAAAAGAGGACTGGCTAGGGGTGGGTGGGGCAGGGAGCTGGGTCCTCAGAAAAGGCCTCCACCCTTCAGATCCCTTCTCCTCTGCACCACCTGGGCCACGAGCCTGCCCACCTGAGGATATGGGGCAGAGGGGCTGCTTATAGTGAAATGCAGGGAGACCCAGGGAGGAACAACTGGGCAAAGGGGAACCTTGGCCATTCCTGGTCTGGGATTCATCAGAGAGCAATGTCAGAACTCGAATAGCAGAGAGTCAGGACCCCCGAGTTGCCAAGCCTGGGACTCTGGTACTGGAATGAATTCCTTTGGGGCCATGTCTGGGGTAGAGAATGACTAAGCCACCCTTCCAGTGTGGGTTACAGGGAGTGGCACGAGATATGACCACCAAGCCTGGCGGCCTCACCTGCGCTCGGATGAGGGACTCAAAGCTGGGCTGGAAGTAGTCAAGGCGGCTGCCATAGAAGCGCGGCATCTCCTCCAGCAGCTGCCTGTTCTTGGCTTCAAAGTCCTCCCGCACGGGCCGCAGCTCCTCTCGCGCCTAGGGAACAAGACCCAGGGTGTCAAAGCTCGCTATCTCTGCTGGTGCAGGATACAGGATGGATGGGGGGGGACATGCGGTGTCTCGGTCCTGGTGCCCCCAGGTGAAAGAAGGGACTTTCCACAAGTGACCACGATGGCCTGTCCGTCCACCCGCTGCTTGCCTGCCCTCCCTGGTACCTGGTGGAGCTTGGCCAGCACTGGCCCCGTCTTCTCCTTTTCCTCGTACTTCTCCACCTTGGCCTGCAGCCTCCTGTAGTCCTGCAAGGCCTGTTCCCGCCGCTTCACGGCCATGTTGAGGCTTGGGAAGACGCTGCCGAACCTGTGGGACGAGCTGGCTGGAGGTGGGCCTGCTCTTGGAGGGGCGGCCTGGCTGGAGGTGGGCCTGCTCTTGGAGGGGCGGCCTGGCTGGAGGTGGGCCTGCTCTTGGAGGGGCGGCCTGGCTGGAGGTGGGCCTGCTCTTGGAGGGGTGGCCTGGCCAGCACTCACTTATCCAAAAATATGTCCTGAGCACCTACTAAGTGCCAGAACCCTGCTCTAGGTCTTGGGGAGTTCACTGTGAACAAGACAGATGAGGCTCTGTCCCCTGCAGCTTGTGCAAATGAGGATGTCGTCGTGGAGTGAGGACAGATGAGAAGAGGAAGGGCTGTGGACCAGGTCCCGGGAGCCAGGCAGCATAGGGCGACCCAGAAAGGAAGGGTGCCCTGACCCCCACCTCCTGTGAGCTTCATCACACAATGGACTAGAGGATGGTGGGGAAGGTGCTTTGAAGTCATCTGGCCAACACTTCACTTTTAAAAAGGAGGGAAACTGAGGACAGAGATGATATATAACTCAACCAAGGTCACAATGAAGCAGAGAAAGTCCAGAAGAGAACACAGGTATCCCATGTTCTCTGTCTGGCACCCTTTCCAGCCCTCACAGTGTCAATGGCAGGTGACAGAGCTGAAATCTGAACTTACTCCTGGCCCAGGGCACCTGCTCCTTCAACGTGTCCTTGGCAACATGAAAGCAGCAGAGCCGGGCATGGTGGCTCACCCCATAATCCCAGTACTCTGGGAGGCCGAAGTGGGAGGATCACAAGGTTAGCAGACCAAGACCATCCTGGCCAAGATGGTAAAATCCTGTCTCTACTAAAATACAAAAAAAAGTTAGCCGGGTATGGTGGCACATGCCTGTAGTCTCAGCTACTTGGGAGGCTGAGGCAGGGGAATCGCTTGAACCCAGAAGGAGAGATTGCAGCAAGCTGAGATTGCGCCACTGTACTCCAGCCTGGTGACAGAGCAAAACTCTGTCTCAAAAAAAAAAAAAAAAAAAAGCCTAAGTCCTATAGTTCTGCCACTGGAATGGCCAAAGCGCCAACCAGCTGCTTTAGGAAAATGCCCTGAGGACTACCTCCTATCCTATGGTGATTAGAAGGGACCATGTGGGAGACTCAGAGGAGTGGCCCCCACAGACAGCAGCAGTGGACGATGCAGCACTGCAGATCCCCAGGGGCCTCATCTGTGACTCGTGTGGCCTTTAGCAACCAGGAGGAATGCTCTCCTGAGGCTCTCGCTGCTGCTGCTGCTGCTGCTGCTGCTGCTGCTGGAGGGCTGGCCCTCAGTGTGACAGCAGGGCAAGCCCGAGTCCCAGGAGTGCTCAGGGTCCAGCTGTGCAGCGCAGGGAGCTCGTGACTCTGTGGCCATTTGGAGGTGACCCAGTACCAGAAGAGTTGGTTCCTCCTGGCGGTTTTTACAATGAGCACAGAGAGGAGGAAAGATGAGGGCAGGAAGCCGTTACTGAGGCTGGCGCTAGCCTCTCACAGGCACTCACAGAGCTGAGCGGATGCCGGCAGACTCACTATCAGCTTCTAGGAGCTCAGACACCAGGCAGAGCAGGACTTCTCAGATCTGTCTCTCAAAGGAACATGACTATGAATTTGGTTTTGAGATGGAGTCTTGTTCTCTCCATCAGGCTGGAGTGCAGTGGCATGATCTCTGCTCATTGCAGCCTCTGCCTCCTGGGTTCCAGTGATTCTCCTGCCTCAGCCTCCCGAGTAGTTGGGATTACAGGCATGTACCACAACGCCCAGCTAATTTTTGTATTTTTAGTAGAGACGGGGTTTCACCATAATGACCAGGCTGGTCTCGAACTCCTGACCTTGAGTAAGCCACTTGTCTCGGCCTCCCACAGTGCTGGGATTGCAGTCATGAGCCTGGTTTTAAAAAGCCTCAGCAAATCAAGTGTCCAGGTGAGGTAAGAGTAATGAACAATTTTGCCAGAGAATAAGAGGATATAAACTTTACCAAAGCATTAAATGCCCCAAACTAAGCCACAGACCAAGGGAGTAGACTTTGATGAAACAAAGGTCTTATCCCCAAGAAAGGGCACTAACACGAATCCTCCACCTCAAGTGTCCGTAACGGGCTCCCTGCCTAACAAAGTACTAAGTGGGTGAAGCCACTAAAGTGCCCTCCCTGAATCCTCAGCTGTGTCCTTAGACACAGTAATCAAACCAGCATCTGAACAACTTGCTAGGCAGAAGCCATGGTCCTCCCAGCACTGCCCATGGAGAACGCAGGCCACCTCAGCGCTGTGGAACTGAGAGGAAGCAGACACCACCAGGACGCATGGCCACCCATGGTGTGGGCTGGAGTGAGACTGCTGGGAGGAGCTGGGCTTGATGCTTTCACCCAGGGCAGGTGCTGTGGAGCTGCAGCTGCTGGGGAGCCCCACCCGCTTCCTGGGCAGCTGAGAGGCACGTGTTCAGGCAGCAGGTGCAGCTGGCCTCAAAGGCTACCACGCCACCTCTCTCTCCGCCCCAAATGGCCAATGGACCACTGGCAGCCACCCCGGTCCTCACCCTGGTTCTTGTGTTGGAAGCCACCTGCTGCCTGCATGGTCTCAGTTCCTTGGCCTTGGTGCCTGGGAGCTGCAGGGTGGGTGCTAACACTGGGACGGCAAAGATGATAAGCAGGCAGGAGGTAGCAGGTGGAGGGCTCTCTGGCCCTGGCCCCAATCCCACCATGCTGAGCTCACATCCTCAGGAAGGAGGGCATCACAGCATGAAGCCATGTGTACACAAGGCACCTTCCACGGCACAGGATGGGAGGAGCTGCATGCTTGTTGCTCCAGCAGCCCGACCCCCAACATCCCTGTGGCCCACTCATAGCCCCCTTTCCACAGCTGGGACTTATTATTTCCGGGGCAAGGGTAAGAGCCACCAGGAGCACTGACTACAGGGGAGTGCTGAGTGGGGTTGAGGGAGGCTGGGTTACAGGGCTCCTTGGGGGGATGGGGTGGCACTGTTTCCAGGAGGCCACCTGACTGCATGGGCTCCTACCAGACCCCTGGAACCAAGACCATCTGGCCTCTGCAGGGGACATGGCTGCAGGGCACCTGCCTCTGTGAGAAGGGTGTGTCTTCACCATGAAAACTTGCATCTCCCACAACAGCACCCTCAGTCACCAAGAGGCTCTGCCTGCTCAGGCCACTGGAGACGATGGCTGATAAACCACCACCACGGTAGGGGAGGTTGGATCCTGGGATTGGGATTCCCTAGGGTTAGGGACAAGGGTCACACACTTCTACATTCCGAGGAAACTCACATCAGTCAGGGCGGGCGAAGCCTGTCTCAAGGTGGCTGAAACGTGGGGGACCAGGACACTGTCACATCTGCTCTGGTCGCTGACCCACTGAGGCCCCACCTCCCTGTTTTCTACTTCTCAGCAATGGAAGACTTTGCCAAAGCCCAGGGGTGGACGGTGGATGTGCCATGGTGCTGTGCGGGACTTCAGCTCAGGGCCCAGGGTGCCGACAGGGGAGGTGGAAAGACGTACAGGCTAGGCCCCAGTGCGGACCCCTCTCAGATACGCCCCTAGGATACCACAGAGGCCTTGCTGACTCCACCCAATCACATGGTGGGGGACCTCTCCCCAGGAGCAAGGCCAGGACCCAGGCTCCACTCTGCTGTCCCAGCTCACTTCACCCCTCCCTTCTTGCCCACCTCAGCCCACCAAAACCTCCTCTCCTGCTCCTAGGTGCTGACTGTCCCATTCTGAGAAGTCAGTTTGGCCCTCTCTTTCCACATGTGAGGAAACAGGTTCCCAGGCTGGGTGGGAGCAGGTGGGACAGGCCACCCAGCATGCTCTCCTCCACAGTACTGCACCACGCTGGCACTGCCACACCCGCTGCTGACCCGAGAACAGATCGTGGCTTTCCACTACACTGTAAGCTCCTGAAGTTTCTTTTACATTTATCCCTAAATAACAGGGCCAGGCTGGGCCCAGGCCAGTGATCAAAGCAACACTCACGATCACTGCCAATTCTTGCCTGTCTTAAGGCTCAATATCAAACTCACTCTCCTGGGGATGCATGGGGCGAAGAGGAGCAGAACAGGGAGGGAGAGGGAGGCCGGCTGGGAGGTGGGCTGGGTGCAGCCAGCACTGGTGGGGAATGCCTGCCATGCCTTGGTCTGTGCCCACGTGGCCGGGAGCTTCCACCCACCAGGAAAGGGAAATTGAAAGCATCCCCATCCGACATGTGAACACAGCCCAGAGACTGGGGATTAGAGGCCGAGCCCCTGCGGGGAGGCTGGGGGCGGTGGGGTGGCCATGTGGCCATGATCTTCATCAGAGCACAGGAAAGCTGCAGTTTCCTGTTTCCGGTGCTGGGGTCCCTGGGAGCTTCTCTTCTAGCAAGAGGAAGCCAATGGGGAGGAGGCTGCAGGCTGCGCGGTTTTATGTGGTCGGGGGAGATCGTATGTCAGCTGTGGGGATGCAGGGAGAAGCCAGCCAGGCAGGCCTGAGGGCTCATGCAGAGGTCAGCGGATCTGCAGCGGAGATGGTGCGCCCCCTCTGCCACGCCTCCACCTTCCTGGCAGGTGGTGGGCCACCAGGGTGGTGGGAAGTGGCCGGGGTTTCTCTCCATTTGGGCTCCAGAAGCCAGGGATCAGATTTCAAGGGCGCCTTGTTGGTACTGAAATCGAGGTGGGAGTCAGTCCCCCAGTTCTCTGAGCTGGGTCCCTGCCTCACTCTGCCAGCAATAGGTGCCTGTGGCAGCCTCTGTGCCCATCTCTGGGACCCCTGCAGCCCTGGCACAGAAGAACCCTCTGTGGGCAGGGTCTTCTTGGCTTGCGTCCTTCCCAACCAGCCCTGAACCGTCTGTCCTGAAGCCCAGGACTGAAAACCACAGCCATGGAGCTCCTTCTGCACCCAAGCTCCCTATACAACCCCATGGCACAGGGCTGCACTGTCACCAGTCACCAGCAGGCAGGGGGTGGTGGATGCCCACTCTGGGGAGGCTGTGGGGCCAGGCCCAGAGTGGGAGGTGCAGTCCCTTCTCTCCCTGCCATCACTGAGCCTCCACGGTCCTGGCTTAGAAACAACAGCTTGCTAGTGACAGGCGGGCCTTTTCCTAATCCCATACTTCAGGCCTGCACAGTCAAAGAACAGCTCAGCAACCCCAAACCCCAGGGGCTGCAGGATCAAAACTGCTCCCCTCATCGCCCTCCGGGCCTTGGGCCAGGCCAGTGATAATTAGGCAGAGCCTCATTACCCGGCCCTGGCAAGGCAACTGCCCAGGACCACCGCAGAAGAGGCAGGGAAGTGCAGCTGGGCAAGCAGGCGCTTTCTAGGTCACAGCCTGCTCGGGAGAGGCCAGGGAAGATGAAGTGATCAAGGCATGGCTCTGCCTGTTCCCCGCCCTGGGGATTGAGGGAATAGGCCTGTCTGATCACCGACCAGGGGCTGCCTGACAGAAGATGAGTCTCACAGAAGCATTCTTGACCCTGACAGGTCACAAGCTAGGGGACCTTCCCAGGCCAGACCCTGTTGCCACACCCCTCCCTGTATGCGGCCACCCCCACATTTCCAAAGCCGAGTGCTGCAGGCAGCTGCTCTCCCAATCCGGTGGGGCAAGATGAAAGGCCTTGCTCATGTCCGCTGAGGACTGGCCAAGATCTCTGCTAGCTCTATTCAGCAAGCCTGGCCCCACTGGCTCTCAGTCAGAAGGAAGCAGTCAAATGACCACCAAAGCAGTGGCCAGTTGCTCATGGGGGGTGGCGGGCAGGGGTCACCTGAGCTCTCAAGGGCCATGCAGGTAATCTAGAGCCCACAGTAGCACAGACCCTTAGGCCACAGGTCACAGAGCTAACGTCCCCACTGAGTTTCTTGTTAGTCCCCATGGGAATCTGGGGACAGGCTGTTAGAAATGCTGTTCAAGCTCCAAGTGGCCGCTGACCTGCCTCTCCCATAAGTGCCCCGAGGCCCCCAGGTAACATTTACTCACTTTTTTAAGGGCTCGATCACAGTCTTCTGAATTTGGTTCACCTGTAAAAGAAAAGTCCAAAGACATTAAAACTGGTAGGGTGGGGGAGAGGAGGACGATAGGCAAGGCTGGGCCCCTAACTACTGCTGGACCAAAAAGCCCCAAGGACCACAGGGCGCTGTCCTTGTCCTGGGCCTGAGCCACAGAAGGCTCAGGGGCTGTGTGAACAGGACCACCATAGGCGACCCTCACAGTGAGTGATGTGAGCTCTCGCAGCCTCAGGAAGCAGCGAGAGCCAAGGCAGAACAGTCTGGGAAGAGCCCAGTGGGCCTGCGGCACATTGCAGCATACAAGGCCAGAGGGCTGAGTGCCCTGAGAGCATAGGGAGACCACTCAGTCCTCCCCGCACAATCCCTCCAGGGAGAGGCCCACCCCAGACCAAGACCCAGTCACCTACCTTTTCCTGGTTGAAGGCATCCAACCGCTTCATGGCAGTGTCCAGGGCCGTCACCATGTTCAGAAGGTCCTGGTCTTGCTCACAGAGGGGATTGGAGAGTAAATCCAAGGATATCTTCATAGCAGATTTTGACATGGCTGTAAAAAGCCAAAGCTCAGTGAGCCCGTGAAGGGACAGGTTTCATGGGCTTCTCTTCAGGACCCTGTCCTCCTATGGCCAGGGGCCTGCCCCGATGACCTCTTCCCACTGCCACAGCCATCAGAATGGCAGAGTGCCACACAGCCACGAGCCGATGATCCCCTGGTTTAATATTCATTCCCCATGCTGACACTGTTCTGGGCAATTCTTTTGAGCAGCTTTACCTGTTCTCCAAACCCTGGGTTAGAAAAGGACTATCTGGGTGGGAGGCTATAATATAATGCTTCTGGCTCCAAAGATTCTAATTCAGTAAAGCTGGAACCCAAGAATATGCATTTAAAACCATGTCTCCAGGTGGTTTGTATGTGAAGCTTGGTGTGGGACTCCCACATGGACAAAAGTAACAGTACTCCATTTACACATGCTTTCACTACAAAGGGCCCAACGGTAAACAGTTCATGCTTTGTGGGCAGTATGATTTCTGTGGCAACTTCTCAACTCTGCCTTGTGCTGTGAAAACAGCCAGCCACAATACATAAAAAATGGATGTGGCTGTTTCAATAAAGCTTTATTGGCAAACTAGGTCAGATTAGGCCAGCAGCTGTAGCCTGCCAACACCTAGTTTCCTCGATAACCAGTAGGAAGAGATACACTGGAAAATGTGTTTTCCCCTGAGACTCGCCTGGACACTGCAGCTGGCACAGACGGCACTGGGCCAGCATGGCCCTCTTCCAGGGTGTCTTTCTGCTCCTCCAGAATTTTGTTTGTAAATAATGGAGATCTGGGAACTTGTATAGGACAAGGAGCTCCAAAGCTGCTAGCAGGTCCCCATCTTGGGGTTCTGTCAAGGTTCCGATACACTCTCATTTAGAGCTCAAACAACCCGGGGAAATTATTTTGGTTCCATTTTAGAGAGGAGGCAGATCAGGTACAAAAGGGTTTGTAATGTCTCCAAGGTCAAATGGCTGTGAGTGCCAGTTGGGCCTTGACCCTTGACCCTGGCCAGCTGCCTCCCTGTTGACTGCTCTCCTTGTGATCTGGCCTGGAGGAAGCTGGTGGACAGGTCCACGGGCTCTGATGGGGCATCCACTGATGTTTTTCCAGGCGCCCTGGTACCCGGTCCCCACGAATGTGCCACCCACCCCTCTGTGCTCCTCCCTCCTGTGCTGATATTCCCTGCTGGGCAGATGGGAAGCCTGGGAGTCACAGGCGGCTCAGAGGCGGGCTGGAGACCTGCTGGCAGCTTTGGAGCTCTTGGGCCTGAACATGTTTTCAGGCATCCATTATTTCTAGAGTCTAGAAACAAAATTCTAGAGGGGCAGGAAGAGGCCATGGAGAAGGGCCAGGCTGGCCTGATGCTGTCTGTGCCAGTGTCAGAGTGTATCTGGGGCAGGTCTCAGGAGAGAAGACACACTGCAAGGGAATTTCTTTTATTTGCATGTTACCGAATTTAAGATGCTCTTCGTTTTAAGACACGTACTCTATAAACTACTAAGAAAAAAAAACTGCTGTCAGTCAAACCAGGCTACACTCTCAAGTGTCACAGTATTTTGATTTCACAGATGTTAACTGTGGAAAGTGTCTTGACCCATGACATAAGGTTCGCCTCCCAGCTAATTACAGATGTGGCCTTGCCTAGCACTCCAGGGCATGAGCCCAACCCCTGACCCTGCTCTCCCCGAGGAAGGGTCCACCTCCCCCAGGTCCCTTCACCAGCCAGCAAGGCAGCACTGAGTAGACAACTAGCAGGCCTGGAGCATTCTCCTGGGATTTTTCTGGAATTTAGGAGAGTGCTAGTCACCCAGCAAAAGGGCAAACTGTGGGAGAAGGTTGGAAATGTAAACTTTCCAGAAACGCTGAGGAAACGAAGGAAAAAAACCACCTCTTAAATTCTGTGAAGTGACTGTAGGTTTAGGAACAAATGTGTAACTTGATTTGATCATAAAATGATCACATACGGCATAATAGAAAGATAATTAAATTCTAGATAAAGCTGGAAATGTTTCTGAAAAATGTCTTCTATTCTTTCTAAAATATCTGAGGAAAACAACCCAAAAAGCCAGAGGATCGAGGAGACATTCTTCCCACCTTTTTTTTTTCTGAGATGGAGTTTTGCTCTTGTCGCCCAGGCTGGAGTGTAATGGCACGATCTTAGCTCACTGCAACCTCTGCTTCCTGGGTTCAAGCAATTCTCCTGCCTCAGCCTCCCAAGTAGCTGGGTAATATTACAGGCACCTGGCTGATTTTTGTATTTTTAGTAGAGATGGGGTTTCACTATGTTGATCAGGCTGGTCTCAAATTCCTGACCTCAGGTGATCCACCTGCCTAGGCCTCCCAAAATGCTGGGATGACAGGCATGAGTCACCGGGCCCAGCCCCACTTCCCCCCCACTTTCCTAAAGCTGTTGCATTGTCAGGAAGTCAAGGAACTGAGTGGACTCAGGGGCCGGCCCTGGGGAGAATTGTGTCTGGAATCCCTGCCCAGTGATGCCCCCGACTCATGCGCGTAGAGCAGAGCTGGGGTAGATGACGCCAAGAACACCATGGCCTTGGCTGGGCATGATGACTCATGCCTGTAATCCCTGCACTTTGGGAAGCTGAAGCGGGAGGATCCCTTGAGCCCAGGAGTTCGAGACCAGCCTGGACGACATAGCAAGACCCCGTTCCCCCTCAAAACAAAATAAATAACAGCAGGTCTCCACGCCCCTCTGGGTCTGTGGTCCCTGCTCTGGCACATATCCCTCCTCATTGTTCTCTGCAGGGACTGGGAGAGGGGCAGTCAGGCTGGCCCACATCAGGAGGCTGGTGATCTTTGAACCTTAGAGAAAGTGAGGGTCTTGGACCCCACCTGGATCTCTGGAGTCCTGATGCGGCCTCTGGAATGTAAGATTCAAAGATCCACCAGAGCACTGTGAAAGTAATGTATTTCTGAAAGAAAAGTCATCTTTTTTAGAATAACTGGGGATTTTCCCCTTGCTGGGGAGCTGAGGAGATTCCACACTCAGGAAAGGCCTCCTTCCATTCCCCTCAATTGTCCGGATCAGTGGTGCTCACAGTGTGGGTCTCCTGGGAATTCTAGGGGCACACATTTTCAGGTCTCACCCAGCCCATGAATCAGAGGCTGGAGGTGGGGCCCCGCGGCCTGCAGCACAGCAAGCCCACCCACAACACTGATGCCCGCCCCATGTGGAAGACTGCTGTGGCCGTCAGGCTCGCCTCCGCCCTGCAACCAGCACCACTGCTCTCCAGAGGTGCTGTCTATGCCCACAACCACTCCTGACTGAGGATAGTAATCCTAGGCTTCTATAGTCACCCATCGAACCCTGGTTTCTCTGCTGGAAAACTAAGCTTTCCATAGCCACAGATAGCGCCTCATGGACCCCTGATGCCCTCCTTGGTTCCGGAGCAAGCCGCTGTGAACACAGCACAACCTGGCTTCATTTATGCTCTGACAATGCAGCTGTCTGTAGAAGCAGGGAAGGAAAGGCAGCAATGGGTCACAGCAGCTCCAGAACTGGAAAGGCAGTGGGGACTGATCAAGAAAAATGCAACCCAAGTAACTCAGACCTGAAATAACTAGAAAACAAACAACTGCACACAAACTCCCAAATCCGGTCCTTGGCTTGTGACACACACAGTTTGGCAACACTAGGGGCCAGGAGCAAGGTGCATGTTCAGACCAGTCCACGGCCCAGGAATTAGCACTGGCATAAGAATGTATGGCAGAGACCAAGACAGCCACAGTCCCTGCACAGGCAGTCAGCACTCACCAGGGCATGGTGGTGGCAGCGGCGGCTCCCAGGGAAGGAATGTTTTCCTTTTGTGATCAGTGCTTGGTAGGAAAGGTGTGTTTACACATCAGTAACTGGCTGAGAGTTAGGAGCTGGCATAAAATGGGAACAAATTCAAATAACTGCTTTCATTAGGGACATTTCAAGTGTTTTCCTCTTAACTGCAGTGCCAAGTAGGAGCCAGCTGGTCCTCAAATCCCACCCTTAGGTGCCCACTGCCCTATGGCCCTTTGAATGGTGTCAGGAGACAGTGACACTGCCCCTATTTGCACTAGGCTCACAGCCAAGCCAAGCCAAGAGTGGATGAGCCAGGGTTCCGGAGTGGGCTGTATCTAGTTTGGGGTGGCAGGGCAAAGGAACGAGTGGGGCATGGGCAGGCTTCGCTGTGGAGACAAGGCCCTGGGCTTGAAAAGAGGAGCTAAACTCTTCCTGTTGATCAAATGGACATGTCAGTTTCCTCTTTCATAAAATGGGTGTGTCATGTGCCCTGCCAATCTCAAGGTCAGAAGAGCTCACGTAGGAGAAATTTTCTTCACAACTATAACAGCATTATTCAGCAGCTGGAGTGGCTGAGGGGACTGAAGATGGCTCCTTCCCCATCCTGCTGGCTTTCCTGCATCTCTGGTCAGCATGCACAGCCTCTGGGCCTCCACGCTTGCTGTCCACGGCCTCTGGGCCTCCACGCTTGCTGTCCACGGCCTCTGGGCCTCCACGCTTGCTGTCCACGGCCTCTGGGCCTCCACGCTTGCTGTCCACGGCCTCTGGGCCTCCACGCTTGCTGTCCACGGCCTCTGGGCCTCCATGCTTGCTATCCACGGCCTCTGGGCCTCCATGCTTGCTGTCTGCTATGTTTCAGGCCCTCTTTCCTTGGCTCTACTTGTGTGGGTTACTCATTCCTTTAGGATTCTGCCCAAGGGACACCTCCCCAGAAAGGCCTCCCTGGACCCGGTCACTCTCCACCTCCTGACTGTTTTTGACAGTGCTCGCCATGATGTGTCGTTATACTTATCCTCTTGGATCTCTTGCGGGCCTTCCTCCTAGATCGTAAGCTCTCATTTTGTCTTGCTGTTGACTCTCTAGCACTGAGAGTGCCCGGCACAGGTGGGTTCTCAGTCAGTATCTGTTGAATGAGAGGAAGTGAGCAGTCCTGGCCAGACCCAAGTCTCTTTCAGGTCCCCATCCCAGTGTGGTATATAGACATGTCCCTCCCACTGAACCCAGGGAAGGAGCAGTGGAGGTCCAACCAGTCAGGGAGCCTTGCTGCCAACAATGATGACGGTGACAACAGGAGCTGACATCCCCCGAGAGCTGACCCGTGCCAGGCCGTTCTCAGTGCTTCTCTGAGTTGCTCAGGTGACTTCAACACCAGCCCATGCCACTTGGGCTGGCATTCCCTGTGCTTGCTTCCTGGGTAAGAGAACTGAGGTAGAGCTTAGTTGGCTGTCCAGAGGTACACACGGAGTGCTGAAGCCACTGATCAACCTTTAGTCAAGTGCTCGCTGCTCTGTGGTGGAAAAGTCAAGGCCTTGGAGAAAGAACCTCAAGGAGCAGTTCTTTACCTCTCCCAGCTGCTCATCACCTCCTTCCTGGGACGTGGCCTGTGACAAGGGCTCTGGACGCTCCCTTATCCCACACCTGCCTGTGGCTCTGGGCTCCTGCTTCAAACAAGAACTCTGCAGCCAGGAAACCTCCCCAAGGGCCCGAGCTGTTTCCCAGCACCTGCTGGCCCCCACCACCCATGGACCTCCCAGTACCCTTTGTTATGACGGAATTATCTGGGGCATTTCTGGCCTTACACTTTAACTCAACCTCCTGTTTCAACACACCACAGCTTCCATTCCTGTTGCCACTGGAGTGCCTGGCCCAGCAGGCCAGGGAGTCTTGTTTCTGCAGGAGGGAATGTGCTTCCCTTTCCCTCTGGACAGCCTGAGCTGGCAGCCCGGATTCTGAGGCAAAGGAGACATCTACTACCAGAAGCTTCCACCAGCTGCAGTATTGTTCTGACTAGAATCCCAGGAGAGCCTTGCCCTGGCACCCACATCCAAAGTGGGGTGGTGCGAACTCTGTGGGAAGTAGGATCTGACTAGTGAGGAGTGACCATCCTTAGGCCGCTTCTCAGGACACTGGGTATGCATCCTCTGAGTGCAACGACGTCAGTTAGCCCTTGGGGGCTGAGGGAGGGTGCCCACCTCTGCCTCACCTGCCCAGCCAGTGGTGCAGGTGGAAAGCCACCTACCCAGGTCGGCGTCAGTGCTCTTCTTCATGTCTTTCTGCAGCCTCCGGGTCTGCTCTTCCAGCCTGCAAGGCAGGGGACAGGTTGCTGGGGATCCCACTTCCCTTCCCCTAACTGAGGGAAGCCCAGATACTCTGGAGGGCCTGCCAAGGAGGAGGAGAAGGGGCCCTTCCACATGGGGACATTTCCCGCTGTCTGAAGTGGCACTACACCCAAAGGCTTCGAGTGAATGACTCTCACGCGGCCACTGCTGGGAAACGATTCCAGCAGCCTGGTGACCCGAGCTGCCCTCTGCTTCTAGGATGCTCACGGGGCAGAGGGGCAGCCCAGGGAAGGGTGGTGGGCAGACAGGCGAGACCTGGCAGGGGGCCCTTGTCTCTCCTGCCTCCCACCTTAGCCTTTTGGGGTTCACACTCACTGCTGGAGTTTTCCGTATTCCCTTTCAAAGTCTCTCTCCACCTGCAATGAGAGAGATAACTCAATTATTGGAGAAATGACAGCACGATGGAAAAAACCTCCCAGCCTCCTGAACCTCTCTCCACACCCTGCCCCAGTCCACAGAAAACAACAGGGTTCAGTTCACACAAGCACCAACAGATCGCTCCTGACATGGTATTCCTGTGTTCCCAAACTAATTAAGTGTTTGATTGAGGGAAGAAGGCTCCCCTCCCAGAGGGGCCAGTCAGGCAGGTGGCAGCGGACTGTGGCTCTGCTCTTCCCAGCTGGGAGCAAGGCACTTGCTGTGTGCCCTCCTCAACCCAGGCTGGAGGTGGTCAGGGTGCTCAGAATGTGAATGGATCCCATCCAGGGAGGCAGCAGTGAGTAGAGGAGAGGGCGGGTCTGGAGTTGGGGGCTGTCTCTGCTCTTCCTAGTTTCCAGGTCCATGAAGGGCGCCTCCTCTCCTACCATGCCCTCTTCTCAGGGCCACCTGCCCCTGCTGGGCTTGAGGTGGGTCAGGAACAAGCATGCTCCTGTGCTTTGTGACTGGGATGCATCAAACACAGACACTATGACTACTGACTCAGGCAGGCTCTCTCCATTCCCAACCAGACAGCGACTCTCGAGAGCCAGCACCACTGAAACCAAATGGGTGAGTCCTAAACCCAGGGCTGCATTTGCAAGTTAAGGAATCTAGTACTTTCTTCTAGTGCCTAGACTTCACTATCTGTAAAAAGGGGCCTCAGCATGGGTCTCTTATGGGCGTGGAATGGGAAGTAAATGGTATCAAGAGGCAAAGACGGAGACTAGGCTAGAGGCCAGTCCTTCCTTCTCTCCCTGGCCAGAGCAGCGGACGTCAGGGGCCAGCTTCTGGGCTTCGTGCTCTGAGCAGTCAAAACCGCTAACTCACATTCAGAGTCCCTCACCGTGTGCTTTCCAAGAATGGAGTTCTCTACATTCATCTCCAAGGCAGGCGTGACTATCAGGTGACAGTACTGAGGTGGTCACGGGGACCCAGGTTATATACCCTGGCCAAGGTCACCCCATTGGTGAAGAACAAAGTTGAGCACAGTGGGAATGGAACCCAGGCAACCTGGCTCCACGGCCTGCATTCGTAACCATCACTCTCCTAGAAGGCATTTTCTGATGAATGAAAGCCTTGACCTAAGAAAGCAGTCTTCCTGGCTGCTCCCTGAGACTCCTGCCCCCGAGAGCCCTAGATCCTGACTTCTGCTTATGCTACAGGCTGAGGGTCAGGCAGTACATATTTGCAGAAACTGTCAGAGCCAGGCTGTTCCCATCACTGCCATCCAGCAGTCATGTCACAAATGAGGAGCCTGAAGCCCAGAGAGGGAAGTGACTTCCCTAAGGATGCAGGAGATTATGGTGGCAATGCAAGGCTAGCATCCAGAGTCCTGGTTCAGGTCTTTTTGTTTCAAATGTAAACAATATTCATTCCTACAAACATGTATTGAGCACGTATTAAGTGGGATGCATTCTGCCAGGACCTGGGGATACCCTGGTTGATTCAAACAGACATGGGCCCTGGCAGTGCACATAAACAACAGCTAGATACAAATCTGCTTGCTGATGGGCCTTTTGGACGGCAGCGATAAGGCCAGAGAGAGTTGGACAGAGACTCTGCTTAGCTCTGGCCTGCCCTCAGGGCATGACAACAGACTCCCTTGCATGGAGATAGCTGTACCTTCCTCATTTCAACTGTAAAATCCGGAAGCAGGAGAAAAAATGGTCTTTTACTTACTTTATGATCGTGGCATCTAGTACCTTCTACAAAACTGTGAAGTAAAATCCACCATTGGTGCCCCAGCCTCCCATCCTCTTTTCAGCAGACTCTTTCCCCACCCAGGAATCCATTAATTTTATCATTACTTTCCTTAGGATCCAGCAAAAGCTACTCTTAAGAAAAAAATTCAAAATTCACTCCCACTAAAGCACAAATGCTTGATAAGCATTTAAAGTGCTGCCTGTCCCAGGGGATTTCCAGTTAGCAGGGAAAAAACAGTCTCCGCTAAAGGAAGGGAAAGGCTCCGCAGTGACTGCAGGTGGGAATTTGCTTTGGTGTGAAGGAGCCTTGCCAGGGCCCTGGAAAGTCTGTACTTTGGTGTCAGCCTAGTTTTCTCCAGCAGGGCCACAGAATAATGCATGAGCAGAGATAGGTAAGATATGAACTCTCATACTAGTTGTGGAGCCTTGATAGTACTGAGGACTTTTTGTTTTTTTTTGAGACAGGGTTTTGCTCTGTCTGTTGTCCAGGCTGGAATGCGGTGGTGTCATCATAGCTCACTGCAGCCTTGACCTTCTGGGCTCAAGCAATACTCCTGTCTCAGCCTCCCGTGTAGCTGAGACTATAGGAATATGCCGCTATGCCTGGCTAATTTTTAAATTTTTGTAGAGACAGGATCTTACTATATTGCCTAGGCTGGTTTTGAACTCCTGGCCCCAAGTGATCCTTTTGTACTGGCCTCCCAAAGTGCTGGGATTACAGGTGTAAGCAACCTCACCCAGCCAACTTTAGGTGGCTTATAAGAAAAGAGTTGATAATAATATCTACCTCAGTGGCTCCTTCTGAGGATTAAGAGGCCGCGTACGTAGAACAGACTGCAAGGTGCCTGGTCCACGGCAGTGCTCACTAAATGTTAGTTTCCGTGTTTTTCTCCTGCTCACTGGGGTTCCGGGAAGACCAGAGCAATCTGGGGCTGCAGACTGTGCTATAAACCTGTTCGCAGAGAGGAGAAGCTGCCCCAAGCACGCAGGAAACTGGCAGCTAAGGAAACCCTGATGTTGGCTAAGGGTGGAGGCCCATGCCTGGGTGCTGTGGCAGTGCCCTAGCACCCTTTGCTAAACACATCTTTCTTCTTCTTCTTTTTTTTTTTTTTTGAGATAGAGTCTCACTCTGTCACTCAGGCTGGAGTGTGGTAGCACAATCTCGACTCACTGCAACCTCTGCCTCCCAGGCTCAAGCAATTCTCATGCCTCAGCCTCCCAAGTAGCTTGGACTCCAGGAGTGAGCCACCACACCCGGCTAATTTTTGGAAAAAAATTTTTTTTTGGTAGAAATGGGGTTTCACCATATTGTCTAGGCTGGTCTTAAACTCCTGGCTCAAGTAATCTGCCTGCCTTGGCCTCCCAAAGTGCTGGGATTACAGGCATGAGCCACCACACCCAGCCGACACATCTTTTGTCTAACCTTGCAGGGTATGATGGCTGAGCAGCATCTTCACTTATTAAAAGTATTTCTTTCCAGAAAGAGAAAATTAAAACGAAGCACTACTTGGCCCAAACCAAGCTCATCTAGAGATCCAGAACGCACAGGAGGTGCTCTCTGGGAGGGAAGCTGAGAGTCTGCTGAACCCTGGGGCCCCCAGTCTTTGGCTCCCTTCCTCTCTTTTGCAATCCCCCAAGTGTGCCGGTGTGTGTGGGATGTCAGAGAACACCTGGTCTCCCTGGCTGGGGACTGCTTGGACTTGCACCGGGAGGGACTTCAGGTTTTTAGCTGGGTTGGATCACTCTGGAAGCTGAGGAGCTGAGGTCTCACAATGGAGCTGAGGAGCAGGTCAGGGGACGGAGTATGCTCTTTCTACTTGGTGCCACTGAAGGCCATCTGACAGCCTGAGAGGAGTTCAGAAACATCTCACCTCCCGTGCTGTCAGCGGCCAGGGTGGGTGGCTTCTGTAGCTCACTGCTCCAAGAGCTCTCTCTTCCACTGGGGAAAGATGCACAGGGACACTGCCAGAATTCTAGCCTCTCGGATAATGGCTAAGGGACTAAAGGGACACACTGGAGGCTCATTCCAAGGAAAAGAGCCAGACAGAAAAGATCTGAACATCTTTGACTGCTTGATGCCTTTGCCAAAAAGGCAATTGGACCCCAGTCAACAATGCAAGTGTAAACACATGTGCATGGACCGTCAGGAGATCAGGGCAGGCTGGGCCAGGCTGGCAAGGTTAGTGCAGGGAGAACCAAGGCCCAGATGACTACCCTTGGCCACGTCCTGCATTCATTCTCTAAGGCCCAGGGTGGGAGGAAGGGGCTGTGCTATTCCCAGCTCAACTGGCAGTGCCCAGGTCAGGCCCTGGCGCAGAGTGGAAACCCAGTATTTGCTAAGTGAATAAACAGGCTGAGTTCCCACCCCAACTTATGCTCATGGTGAAGTGAGAAAGGAAACTGGCAGGCAAGGCCGGGGCTCTGATCCCAGGGCTGAGGTGCATCTGATCGGAATCTGAGAAGCTCAGAATCGCAGCACTGTGGGAAGCTCCTCCTTCAAGGGATGCTCTGGGTGGAATGTGGACTCCCTGAAGGTATGTTCTAGCAGTATTAAGCAGGATTAATGAGGCTGAGGGCCCTACTGCCTGGCAGGTGAAAATCCTTCTCCAGTGGAGGCTTTGTGTGGCCAGACTCTCTTTGTCCTGACTTCGCAGAGCATCCACCTGGCTAGGAACCTTGGTGTGTGCGTTCCTTGTGTTTAAGACCCAGAGTAACCCTTGATGCAGAGGGACACAAACAGCAAAGCTTCAAAGACCTCTTCCTTCCTCCCTGGTTATGTAGGAAGTTATGGCGGCTTCTTTCCAGGCTAAGATGCTCCAGCCACTTTATGGGACCTGGGGAGCAGCAGGGGACTGGGTGGAAGATGAGGATTGGGATGGTGGGGAGCTCTTTTCCCTCCATCTCAGTTCTAATGGTCAGCCCCAGCAGGAACAAGCCATTCCAGCCAAAGCCTTGACAATAATGGATTTGTGTGAATAACCTGGGTAAAGGAGAACACTGAGGGTAGGGACACAATGCTTCCTTTGTGCCTGACAGTTGGGTGCCTTGAGCCAAAAACCTCCTGAAATTCCCTGAAGATAACATGAGCATTTCTTCCCATGACAGGGGCTCCATGACTTCCAATAACCCAAAGAGCCACAGCTGCTCCCCTCCCTGAAAGTGCCTGGGCAAGAACAACAGAATGCGTCACTGCTGTTGAAGGGCAGCTGCCAGAGATGCTGAGACAACTGCACAGCCCAGGCCTGTTTTGGGGGCTGGAAGGAGGTAGTGGGTGGGGAATGAGACTGAAGAGGCAGGGTCTTGCTAATTCTACTTCAGTGCCTCTGGGGAGCAGAGGGGTATAGGCCAGGGAAGCAAATCTCTACTCCAAGCTGTGTAGTTCAGCTGTGATTCCTTGTGAGAGATCAAAGGCCCCACTGACTTTGCTGCGTTGTGAAATGTGGCTGCCTGGGACAGGCTGAGTCCCTGATGGTTCATAAAGAGGGTCAAGTCAACCAGCTTCCTGTGATGTCATTAATATTAACTGGGGGCTTATTTTGTGCCAGGCACTATGTTAGGTACTTTCAATGTGCTACCTTGTCTGAGCCTCAAGTAACATCTGTGACACGGGTACTGTCATTATCCTCACTTTACAAATAAGAAAACAAAGGCTCAAGAGGTTGAGGAACTTGCCCAAGGTCACAGATGGCACATGGCAGAGCCAGGATGGGGACCCAGACTGCCAGCCTCTGAACCTGTTTCTTGACCCCAACCTGATCCCCAGTCTATCTGGGAGAGCAGATACCGTAATCAGAGGACCACAATTCCATCTCCAGTGAGACAGATGCGAGGAAGGAAGAGGGACGCCCCGAGCGCATCTGCCCTCCCTGTGAGTCCCTGCCACTCCTTAGATGAATGGAGCCAGAGATTTTGCTGCCAACAAACTGGCAAAGCAGCTCATTTGCCTACACTTTTTGTGGAGAACAAAGTCCATTTCGATAAAGGTTGGGGTGCCGGGAGGGTTTTTGTTTGCCTGTTTGTAGCAAGCATTCAGAACAAAAGACCCCTCTTGAAACCACTTCCCTTTCAGATCTGTCATGGATTAAACTCTGGAGACTCAAAGCCACACCTTCCCACTTCCTGCAGCCGGCTAGAGCCCAACATGTGCACACCCAGATTCTTTGGACTTCAGCTGAGAGCCTCCACAGATGGTCAGCCTCTGCATGGGAGATCAGCGCTGAGGTGGTCATCACCTGTCTCTGCGTGAAGCAGAGATGCCCCCCGCATTTTTTTAAACAGACAGGGTCTCAGTCTATCACCTAGGGTGGAGTGCAGTGGTGCAATCATAGCTCACTGCGGCCTTGAACTCCTGTGCTCAAGCGATCCTCCTGCTTTAGCCTGCCAAGTAGCTGGGACTACAGGCACTTTTTTTTTTTGTAGAGCCGGGGTCTCACTTTGTTGCCCAGGCTGGTCTCAAACTCCTTGTTTGAAATGATCCTCCCACTCTGGCCTCCCAAAGTGTTGAGATTCCAGGCATGAGCCACTGCATCCAGTCAGGGAGCTTTTAACTTGCCCGTTTCCTTTCAAGTGACCTAACTTTGGATTTGCCAGAGATGGAGCCATTGGTCAGATGTGTGCCAAACTTCTCACCAGACTGAAGCAATCTCTTTCCTGTGCTTCTGAGAGCTGTGCCAAGGAGGGGGAAAAGCTAGTAAGACAAGGAGAACTGTCAGGGACTGGGATGACAGACGAGGACCTCTGTTGCCAGCACAGCACTGGACTTTCTGCAGCTGTCACGTCACAGAGGCGCTATAGTTGTGGTCTCCCATGTTAAAACCAAAAGACCCATTCAGATTTGTGGGTCAGGGGGTTGAAAAGGCTATTCTGCACTGGGATTCCAAAACACTGGGAGGGCTTGACAGCCCAGGGAAGCATAAGGCAATGGAAAGAATATTGGCCAGAAGCTCAAACCTGAGCTCTAACTCCAGCTTTGCCAGTGTGGGGTTTTTATAACTTGAGAAAGTCGCTGCAACCTTCCACGGGCCTCGTTTTCCTCATCAGGAAAAATCAGGAGGTTGGACTAGTTAATCTCTATGAGCTTCCAGTTCTAATTTCCTAAGAATCTATGATTCTCTTCCTTTCCCATTCTGGAGATACAATAGGGATGAAAAATTGGGGGGAGGTGATGGGGGTGTTAAAGGGTGGAGGGATTCAATCTTCCCCTCCCGCTGAGTGACTCATGGCCAAGAATGCATTTGGAAGTTGGGAGAAACAGGCTGAGGGCACTGGGAAAAGCTTCTTGGTCTTTTCTGCAACTGAGGTAACTGCCTGGGCAGTATCTTTGGTGGGAGGGCGCTGTGTTTCAGGAATGCTCTCAGGAAAAAAAGTAGACCGCAAGCCAGTCCCTAGAGGTGGACTGCTCTGAAGCAGTATCTTTCTCTACCTTTTGGTAATCCACCTCTTCCACCTGCCCAAGGGTGATGAAGAGCCCGGGCTAACCTTACTGGGGGAAATATCCCGGGACAGCAGGCCCCTCTAAGCCCCAGTCTATGTGAGGTTCTGGATCTGCATAAGTGGGAGGAGGCCCAGGTTGCTGTCTTTCCAGCCCCAGGATGTGTTGATTCAAAGCTTTGGTTCTATGCAAAGGCCATGTGATACAGAACTGAATCTCACAGCAAAACAATCGGGTTACTCACTGTTTTGGGCACAATCTGTTTCTTGGGCTGCCCAATCTTAAAAGGAATCCTATAGGAGAAAGAGACAAAGAGGGATATTGTGAGAAGTGGGGAAGGATGCAGCTCAAAGTATCAGTACAGTACAGGCCGCCCTCCCCCAGGAGGGCGAGGAAGCGTGGCCATGGCCTGCTACTGGGTACTTGGACCATGTGCCCTGGTGGGTGTGCAACCGTCAGCATCTGGGTTTGGTTTTGAGAAAGAGAGGTCCTCCCACCTTCAGTGTCAGATGCAGGTGGTTCTGCCTCAGAACATCTTTCCCACTGATCGTCATTTAAAGACAAAGAAAAGGTGAGGGCAAGGAGTTTGAGGCCGCAGTGGGCTATAATTGCACCACTGTACTCTAGCCTAAGTGATACAGCAAGACCCTATCTCAAAAACCAACCAACGGGTGTGATGGCTTGTGCCTGTAATCCTGGCACTTTGGGAGGCCGAGACGGGCAGATCACAAGGTCAAGACATCAAGACCATCCTGGCCAACATGGTGAAACCCCATCTCTACTAAAAATACAAAATTAGCTGGTTGTGGTGATACATGCCTATAATCCCAGCTACTCAGGAGGCTGATGCAGGAGAATCGCTTGAACCTGGGAGGTGGGGGTTGCAGTGAGCCAAGATAGAGCCACTGTACTCAGAGCCTGCTGACAGAGCAAGACTGTCTCAAAAACAAAATGAAAACCAACCAACCAACCAACCAACCAACAACAAAAAAACCTAGGGGTGGGGTGGGGCGGGGCAGAGCGGGGAGGGGAGGGGAGGGGAGGGGAGGGGAGGGAGAGGAGGGGAAGGGAGGGGAGGCTGCCCTTCGGCAGGTAACCACTGCACTGGGACTTCATTTCCTACTCCATAAAATGAGTGGATTAACTAGGTCATTTAGAAGCTCCCTTGAGGCACTGAGCATTCTATGATTCTCCAATTCCAGGAAGAAAAGCGGCCAGGCTAGAAAGTACATCCCAATGGCTATGGAAAGGGTAGGCTCCAGATCCCAGGTAGGAGGTGAGTCGAGAATCCTTGGGATCAGCTCCTGGCAGAGGGCTTTCAGCCAGTCATGCTCATCACTCTCCTTTTGGCTCTTCCATTCAAACCTCACGTTTCCACAACACACCAGACCCACTCCACCAGGCCCAGGTCCCACCCTTCCCTCCACACCCCCTTCTCCCTGAGCCTGCTTTCCTTTGGCCCAAACTGACCAACACACTGTTGCTAAACCCAATGGTATAATTAACCACCGATAATGACCCCAGACAGCAATCCAGTAAAGGGGATGGGCCAGCCTGAGTCACAGTGGTTTAAATTTAATTTCTGGAGGACATCCTGTTTATTGTTAACCCAGCCCCATAATTTGCGAGTGTTAACCCTTTGGGAGCTGGCTGATTCGCATGGCTTCTGTAAATAAATAATTTCTGGCTATATAATAACCAGGGAGGAAAGGTAAGGTCTGGCACTGAAAAGGAAAAGAAAAAATGAAACTGTTGTTTTCCTTTCTCAGACCTAAAGAAGAAAAGTTCATGGGGAGATGTGTTCTGTCCCCACACCCTGGTTACTTTTCTCTTTCTTACTGATTAGAGCTGACAGACATGATAGTTTCGGAAAGTGAGCAATTGCCCTCAAGGACCATTCTGGAGACAGTGCAAATGAGGTCCCGGTGGCAGTGCAAAAGACAGCCCGTATTGTGGGAAGGACACTGCAGTGGAAAGTGCTCTAGACCAGATATCAGGAAACCTGGCCTCTGCCTCTGACTTGTTTTGTGATCTGAACAAATCGCAATCTCTGGAGCCCAGTTTCTTAAACTATGAAACAAAGGAGTTGGAATCCCTTCAGCTCATCTAAAACTGGAATTCTAAACTGAATCTCCACTCCAAGAATATGGGGAGTAGGATGAGAATTCTAAAGAAGTCTCAGAGTGGTCTTCAAAATGATTCTTGGAGTTTAGTACTGCAGACAAGGGACTAAGAAATCAGAAACATAGATTCCATTATTTGTGGTGCTGCAGCCTCCCTCTAAACCTTAATTTAGTAGCACAGTATTTTTAGAACTGTAAGTTACCATAGAAATTTTTTCCCCAGTTCAACCCTCTCCTTTTGTAGATGAGGAAGCAGATCCAGAGAGGTTCAGTGACAAGCCCAGGGTCACTCTGCTGGGTCACCAGAGAACCAGAAGCAACCAGGGCTCCTGGTGTCCAGCCGTTTTCTCTCTGCTACCCACAGCTCAATACTCTTTTCACATGAATATGTTATAAAGTATGTGATCAAAATACCTAGTCTTGAAGTCCTACGGAATTCAAAGGTGCCCACTGTTCTTACGGGTCTGGAAATGAACAGGGAGGATGTGCGTGCTGAACTGGGTGCTCTGGCACAATGAGGGTTTATGTACACCGCGCAGATGGAAAAGGTCTCTCCTTGTCTTTTTACTACAGATACAATCACAGAATTATCATACTGTTCTGAGTATTTTTCAACTCACCTGCTCAAAAGCCCTATTAGAACATTTAAAAAAAATCCTTCATTTAAAAGTTTTAAAGAAAAATTGTGAAGAAAGTGTGCAGTTCTATGCGACCCACCCTCAGTTTCCCCTTTTATTAACACCTGGTATTAGTGTGGTTCACTGGTCACAATTAACGAACTAACAGTGATAGAGTCTTCAGATCTCCTCGATTTTCCCATGTCCTTTCTCAATTCCAGCTTCCCACTCAGGTCACTACATCACCTTCAGTCGCTACATGCCCTGAGGCTCTCTGCTTGGCTGTGACAGTGTCTCAATCTCTCCCTGCTTTTGAGGACCATCCCAGTTTTAAGAAGTGCTGGTCAGGCCTGCTATAGAATGCCAACTTGGATCTGTCTGATGCTTTTCTCCTGATTGGACTGGTGTTATGGCTTTTGGGATAGAAGATCACAGAGCAGAAGAGCCATTCTCCCCAACTCATACCCAGGGTCCACGATGTCAACATGCCTTACCCTGCTGATGTGAGACCCTTGATCACCAGCTTCCTACTGTAAAGTTACTCTCCCTTCCCGCTTTCCCTACTGCACTCCTTGGGAGGAAGCCATCACACAGAGCCCTACTTCTTATTTATTCAACCATTCACTGTCAGTATGGACCCATATTTATCTTATATTTTGAGTTATAATCCAATACATTATTTTGATGCTCAAATTGTTCCAGCTTTGGCCACTGGCAGCTTTTTCAGTTGGCCCCTTTGTCCTTGGACATATTCACATCAATGTATGTATGTATGTGTGGTGTTATTTCCTTACTTTCTGGCACTATAACATGTACCAAGTGCATCTTGTGTATTTCCTGTTCCAGCCCTCAAATCAGTGGAAGAACGTCCATTAGTATTTAATGTATCTCTGTAATATGGTCTCAACCTTACCTTTCATTTCTTTCCTATTCACTCAGTACAACTGCCATGATTCAGCCAACTGGCTGTTCGTTAATCCCCCAAATCTAAACTCTTCACAGTTTCCTGTCCCAAACTGGGACATTTTGGAGTACATGTCATCAGGACAATTTGGACTGCCCAGGGCAACTGGAACAAATGGCTACCCCCCACAAGGAATGCTCTCTCTGCTCCCAGGAAAACTTCTCACCATCTTTTAAATGTCTACGACTTATATAGCATTTTAAAAATTCTACTCTTTACAGTTAATTACAGTATATTCCCTTAAAAAATATTCTCTATAACTCAATCAAGACAGTTGCATGTGGGCAAAAAAAGAAAAAAGTATTCTCATGAGAAACAGTAACTTTAAAACAATTATTAAAGAAAAACATGCTCACTGCAGAAAACTTGAGAAATAAAAGGGGACTGGGGGGATGAGGGAGGAAAAGAAGAGGGGGAAAAAAACCCAGCCAAAATTTTGTATCTAAAAGATGGTCAAGGTTAATGTTTTAGTGCTGTTATTTGTATTTTTTAAATTTACAGAAAGAAAAACTGAATCAAATGTGCCAAATGTTGGTAGTGGCTAATTTTGGGTGGTGAGAATATGATTACTGTTTTCTTCTCTGCACTTTCCTTTTTTTTTTTTCCAAATACACCAAAAAAAAAACCAAAAAACCCAAACCCTTGTTTTTTCTTGACTACAAAAATAGCACCTGATCAGTGTTAAAAACTTGGAAGACATAGAAGAACACAAAGGACAACACACACATACACCCCCAAAGGAAAAAATTGACAGTAATACCAATTCAGTGTGTATACGTGTGTGTGCATGTGTATGTGTAAATATTTGTGTAATTTTTAAATTAAAAAAGTAAAAGAAATATGTATCATGAATGGTTTTATATGAGAATGTATCATTTTCACCCTCCTCATTTTTAAGAGCTACAGAAGTAAAATGAGTGGTTCAGGTATACAATGAAAATGTACCGCTTGTTTTATTTCTATAACCTCATCACTTACTGCTGGTCATTTCAACTGTTTCAAAACTTTTCTATTATGAACAAAAGCTCTAAGAGCTAAATCTTGGTGCACACCAAGGATAAGTCACCCAGGATCAATTCTGTATAGTGTTCAAGGCTTTGATACATTTTGCCAAACTGCCCTCCAGATAGATTTAAACAGTTAACATTTTTGAAAAGATTGAAACAGTTTATATTTTATTAACCACCCTCTGGTTTGTGTATCAGGGTTTTTTTCCTGGACTAGTGTCTGCCTTTCACTTTTATACGTTTGTGTTTCATGTACAGAAGCTTTTGATTAGTACACAATCAAATCTACTAAATCTGTCTTTTCTTTTGTGATTTTTTTTCTTTTGGTATCAAACAGGATGACCTGCTTCCTCCACTCCATCAACTTGCAACTATTCACCTGTATTTACTTTATTACTTGCATGGCTTCCTTTTGTTAAACTAAACTCTATTAGTATCAAAGTTATAATGTGCATTGTCTAATAAGGCAAGAAGATTTCTTGCATAAAACGTTCCCAGGACTCCCTAATCTCATTTGCCAGAACCAACCACTTTCAACTCAACTGAATTTCTGGTATTTACCTTTCCATGTCTAAGGATAAA